TTTAGTGGTCGAGGCCCCAGAGTTCAATCCCTGATACTGCCCCGTCCCTGGACAAAACAGATTTTTCCTAGTTAACAACCACTCATATTTATATGGGAAGGGACAGCTATTATCTAAAGAATACTTCATAGGATGCAAAAGTAACCCTCTTACACAAATGGTATCAAAAAGAGGAAGATATTTTGGCTCCTCCTTTTCTTTCTCATGTGAGAGGAACCAGAGGAAAAGAAACACCAAGAAGAAAATTACTCAAKAGATTTGCTGTAATGGTCTCCTCAGGGCTCAGTCATTCAATAATTTATGGATTGTCATGAAGCAGGGAGAGAAAAGAAGACATAGTCCCCATCATCCTCCTTCCTTTTTTCTTCAACCATCAAACTTCTCAAACAAGTAGTCTATAATCGTTGCTTTCATTTTCCTTCTTCTTATTTACTCCTCAGCCCACCACTATTTGGGTTCTTCCAAATATATACCTCAGAAACCATTCCCACCAAAGTCACCAGTGACTTTTCAACCAACTAGCCACAGCTCAGTCCTCACAACACCTGATCGCTCAAGAAGCAGAGACTGCTGACCTTAGTCCTCTTGAAATGTGTTCTTCCCTAGGCTGCCTGACACCATATTCTTCTGGTTCTCCATTTACCTCTTAAACTGCAACTGCTCAGTATCCCTCATTAGCCTCCTCTTCTACATGTCTCCCCCAAAAGCTAACAGTTCCACCAAGTGTTTCCTCAAGCCTCCTAAGGTCATAAATTCTCACTGCCAGCCACCTACCTATAAGATGCAGCCACCTATATATCTCAGATACTACAAAAAAAAAAAAAATTACTTTTCTCTCCAAATCAGGTTGCCCTGCTATATGCCACCTCTACTGCAAATCCAAGCCCAAATCCAATCCTGTGGACCTGAGCTATCTACAAGTGTCCATGCTCTTACCTTCCCACAATGTCATGAGAGCTATTGATCCTCCTTAGCCTAGACTTGTGACTGGAACCTCTCATCCTCTATCAAGTCTCTCAAACTCCAATCAACCTTCTCCATTGCTACAAGTCTTAAGCTCCTGTGATCAACTCATTCCTCCACTTAAAAAGCTTTCAAGTAGCTCCCTCTGCCTGTGAAAATTGAAACACCTATATATTCAAGACACCACAAAAGAAATCATAACCTGTATTTTATTCTTATCCATGATTTCTCAACACATTTTACTCCCCAGTTGCACCTGGGATTCTTGCCATCCTGAAACATCTCTGTCCTAAACATGTTGTGTCCTGCCTTGGATGCTCTTCCCCTTGTCTATCTGCTAAACACTCCTCATCCTTCAAAGTCCAACTTAATTCCTGCCTCTGTAAAGCCTTCACTGACATTCCCCAAGCCAAGTTAGCTATTTTCCTTCTTGGCTTCAACCCCTGGTTCCTCTACTATGATAGAACCCATTGCACTCTYTGCATGTCACTTTCCTATACAAGTCAGTTCATCTTTTTTTTGCACAGGCCTGGTTGACATGAGATTGCTGTCTATATTTCATCTATTGAACTGGAAAAATAAGACTGACAGAGAGTCTAAAATATTACATACTCACCACAGCAGATATAAGAGCAATGTGGAAGCATATCACAAGAAATCCTATCCAAACAGGAGGCTCCTTAATACAATAAATATCCACTGTATATTTGTTATTTTAAGCAAAATCCAATTATCATTCCTTGTTTTCAAGCTAGATGCCTTCACACTGCCTCCTGGTAAGGAGGCTTACATTTTACAATCCAGCAGTACTAAATTGCAGGCTGTTTCTTATCCAAATACCTTTGTGGACTACACCTTACTTCCTGCTTCAGGTGGCTCATCTTTCTATTTAGTCATTTGTGGTGCTGGGGAATCAAACCCCGGGCCTCATGCATGTTAGGCAAGTGCTTCATCCCTGAGCTACATGCCTAATCCTAGGCAGGGGGGGCTTTCTTTTTTAAAAAAAAAATATGTATTTTTTTGTTGATGGACCTAATATTCCATCAATCTACTTGCCTGTCTTTATGCCAGTGCCACACTATTTTGACTCCTGTAGCTTTGTAATACTTTTTTAAAAATATATTTTTTTAGTTATACATGGACACAATATCTTTATTTTGARCCCAGTGCCTCACACATGCTAGGCGAGCACTCTACCACTGAGCCACAACCCCAGCCCCCACTAGGGGGGCTTTCTTAATGTCCACACTGAGATCTGAAATCCTTCTCTGTGGTCTCATGTGCTTGCCATTTATCAATGCTTTCAGGAGATAAAGGATCTAAACTTCTACTATAATCTTCAATATTATTGTTACGCTCAGTTTTATTCCCTAACCACTCATTCTCACTTTAAAACCATTTTTACCATATCTGACACTTTAAAATTTAGTTTCTACTCAATCCCAGTTTCTTTAACCCACTTTCCCCATTATTTACGAAAGCCCTTCTTTTGAAAATCCACATTTCTAATTCCCACAGTAACCTCTTTCATTATCTTACTTGACTTCAGGCAGCATTCTACAATTTATCTCTACTCCCTCTTCCTTTTTGATACTGGAGATTGAATTCAGGGGTGCTTAACCATTAAGCCATATCCCCAGACCTTTTTTATTCTGTGACAAGGTCTCACCAAGTTGCTTAAGGCCTCACTAACTTGCTGAGACTGGCACTGAACTTGTAATCCTCCCACCTCAGCCTCYAGGTTGTTGGGATTACAGAAATGCCACTGTGTCCAGCTACTTCTTGAAATACTTTTTTCAAAACATTCTCCAAAGCCAGGTATGGTGATGCACATTTATAGTATATACCTCAGAAAACTACCCAGGAGACTGAGGCAGGAGGATCACTTCAGCCCAAGAATTCAGGGCCARACTTTGATGACTTTCAGTAATTGCTATTCTGCTACCAGATTTCTTAAGGCTTATGTGTTCCAAAGCTCAGACCTCTGAACTCCCTAGCTTTCTTGTAATTCAAGACTTGAAATGTTACCTACATGATGATGGCCCTCAAGGCTGAATCTCTAGCCTCGAAACTCTCCCTTGAGYCCAACTGCCCACTTAGATATCTAACAGGCATCTCATACATGGCAAGTCCAAAACAGAGCTCTGGATTTTACCTTCTAAATATGCTTTCTCCATCTACCTGCTCAAGCCTCAATCTTAGGAATAATTTTTAACACTTCCTTTTCTTTTCCTCTTTCCTTCCCTTCTCACTTCCTTTTCCCTCTTTTTTGCAATACCGAGGATTGAATCTGTTGAGCCATATCCCCAGCCCTACACGATGTAGGTCTTGCATCCTTGCCTATATCTTTCTTCCATTCCACTTGTCATTCACTTCATTCCACATACTCTGATCCACCTTCCTTGTATGTCTCAAGACATAGCAAGCTTGCTTCACACTTGGAGCTCTTGAACTTCCTATTTCCTTAGAATGTTCTTCACCTATTGAAAATTGTACCATCTTGTTCTTGCCATCTCTGTCTTCTATTCTGCTTTACTTCAGAGCACCTACCTAAAACTACATACTAGTTTTGTTTACTGCCTGCTTCTCTGCCAGAGGGCAGATACTTTATCCATCTGTTCACAGCTATATTCCAAGGGTCTAGAGTCATGATTGGTGTTTAGTAGGCTTAATAAATATTTTTCCAAAAAAGGAATGAATGAGTTTCTCTGCATCCTTAACAGTGCTTAACAGTGTGTGGCATAGAGGAGAAGAAATAGCATATTTTTTCCCCTTTATTTTTATTTTTAAAATTTTTTAGTTGTAGGTGGACACAGTATTTTTATTTCATTTTTTATGTGGTGCTGAGGATCGAACCCAGTGCTCCACGTGTACTAGGCGAGCATTCTACCACTGAGCCATAACCCCAGCCCCTGCAATAACATCTTTAATAGCTTCTCAGTTCTCCAGTTTCTCCTACCATAACCAATCCTGCACCTTGCCAACTCAAATCATCAGAGGATTTTCTAATACTAGAATAACAAACCCTTTGAGTGGTCCTAGAGAGACTCACCAAAGTGAATTCATACAACAAAAAATAATATGGAGATATTTCAACACGAACCAAGACATAGATTTCAGGGAAAAAATAACAATGCATAGTTTTCCCTACTCGAGCAATAGGGTGGAAGATAAGCAGCAAAATGCTATCATATTTGGGATTTTTCTCTGAATACAAACTGACAATCTGGGAGCTAAGAGCTCAGTCTATAACTATTTTCCACCTGAGGATTGTCTTAGGCCTCAATCATCAAAGGCTGGAGGGGACAGAGTAACTCATAATTCTGAAAACATGAATGCTTCATCTGGAATAAAATACAACAGCAAAAGTCATGGAGGAAATGTTAGGGATTGAGAGATGTGTTTCTTCTGGCTCAACCTTCAAAATGTCAAGGAAATCAAAGCCAGAGCACTAAAGTATTCTATGTTCTTTCAAGGAAGGAAAAAATACAAAGAGTGAAGCTGCTCACCTGGCTGTTGGATTTGCTCAGCACCATGTGYGCATTGACTACTTCCAGGATATGTGTGGTAAATTCATTCATATCCTCCAGGGGCATGATCTTAAAGGCTACCAGGCTCTTTTTGTTCTATTAGAATAAAGTGGAAAAATGTAAGTAAAGGATGAGCAGATTCAACTTAATTTCTGATTAAAACATTGGGCCTTTTTCTTGCTTATAAAATTTTGCCAACGTGAAGAAAATAACTGTTATATCCTTAAAATTTTTTACTCAGGGTAATCCAAATATAGTCAATAATGAATACACAAACAAAACTAGCTCAGAGATATTCACATCTTGCTCAGGATTGCAAAACCAGGGCTGAGGTTGTAGCTCTGTAGTAGAGCATTTGTCAAGCATGAGGGAGGCACTGGGTTCGATCCTCAGCACCTCATATAAATAAATAAAACAAAGATATTGTGTTCATCTRCAAGTTATATGTATATTACATATATAAAAAAAGACAGTTTATAGTCTCCTGGCTCCAAATCTAGTGTTTTCCCTTCTACACTAATGGACACCATAACTGACAATTGTAGGCAGAGATTCTGTTCTCTACTGTTGTTACTTGTGTATTAAAGTGAAAAACTTATTTCCTCTTGAAGAAGAAAATAATAAAATAACTTCCCATTAATTAGGGAGACTTATTATTAAGTATTCTAAACCTACATATGAATCCAGAAATTATTTCATGCAAATACATTTAAATCGCCACTTTATTATGACCTTACCTGAAAGGATCTCAAGTGGCCAGCCACTTTCACATATGTTTCTGGAGGAACTACAGTATTTTCACCACTGGTGTCCTAATAGATAAAATACAAACAAATCACCAAGGTTTTGATGATGTTGGTGAAAGCGTCTCTAAAATTTCTAACATATACAGAAAAAGAAAATTATAAAGTAAAAGAGCTAAATCCTCAAATGGCATTAACCAGTTGTCCTGCCTTTCAGAACTTACATTTTTGTAAAATTCAAAAACTTGAATAAAATATCTAAGGGTAATTTCCAGTTTCAAAGTTCTATCATACCCATCATAAAAAAAAAAACAAGACAGCTGGGCAAGTGGTGTGTGCCTATAATCAGTGGCTCGGGAAGCTGAGACAGGATTGTGAGATCAAAGCCAGCTTCAGCAAAAGCAAGGTACTAAGCAATTCAGTGRGACCCTGTCTCTAAATAAAATACAAAATAGGGCTGGGGATATGGCTCAGTGGTTTGCCCCTGAGTTCAATCCCAGGTACCCCCAGGCCACCCCCCTCCAAAAAAAAAAAAAAAAACAAAAAACAAACAAACAAACAAAGCAAACAGCTGCCAGGAGTGGTGTTGCACACCTGTAATCCCAGTGACTCAGGAGTCTGAGGTATAAGAAGATAGCAAGTTCAAGGCCAGCCTTAGCAACTTTGCAAGGCCCTAAGCAACTTAATGAGATCCTGTCTCAAAATAAAATTAAAAGGACTGAGGGGCTGGAGTTGGTGGCTTGGCAGTAGAGAACTCGCTTAGCACATGCAAGGCGCTGGGTTCCATCCTCAGCACCGCATAAAAATAAATAAATAAATAAAATAAAGGTATCATGTCCAACTACAACTAAAATAAATAAACCAGCTGTGATACTCTTCTGGCACTCACTGCTCTCAGGCACATAGTTTTCTGGTGGATACTTTTCAGCAAGGCAATTTTACTTTTAGGAGTTTAAGGAAATAATTTAAAACATGCAGTAAGTTTTAAATTCATATTTAAAATATTGAAAAATATGATGGTTATAGTGGTGCACACCTGTAATCTCAGCGGCTTGGCAGGCTGAGACAGGAGGATGGTGAGTTCAAAGCCAGCCTCAGCAATGATGAGGCACTAAGCAACTCAGTGAGATCCTGTCTCTAAATAAAATACAAAACAGGGCTGAGGATGTAGCTCAGTGGTTGGGAGCCCCTGAGTTCAATCCCTGGTACCCTCCCCCAAAAAACTACTGAAAAATTTAAAACATCCTAAATATCAAACCAAAACTATGCAACTTTTATTTTGAATTTTAAACAATCCTTTTAATTTGCTACTGGGCTAAAAGGCAGGAATGGTAACTACAGCAGTTTCAGAGATTGAAAGTATGCACTTAAATACTTCACCCACCTTACTGAAAGCAGTAAGACAGAATTCTATTCACTGTCTAGGAARAATAGTAGCAACAAATGGATAAAAGCTGACTTCTCTAGTGGGGGAAAATATACACTAAAAATATTAACAATGGCCAACTGGGACAATTACAAATGATTTTACTATCTTTTCTTTCTTTCTTTTTTGGTACTGGGGATTGAACCCAGGTGCATTCTACCAATGAGCTACATCTCTAGCCCTTTTTATTTTTTGAGACGGGTTATCAGTAAATTGCTGAGRCTGGCCTTGAATTTGCGATTCTCCTGCCCTSGTCTTCCAAGTCATGGGGATTACATGTATGTGCCACTAGGCCTGGCAAACTATTTCTTTTTGAGTTTCCTAGAACATGTACATATTACTTATAAGGAAACTATATTAGCTAACTTTCAAATTTCTTTTCTGATTATATAAATATATGACTTTAAAAACTGCTGAGCATGGGGCTGGGGCTGTGGCTCAAGCGGTAGCGCGCTCGCCTGGCATGCGTGTGGCCCGGGTTCGATCTTCAGCACCACAAACAAACAAAGATGTTGTGTCCGCCAAGAACTAAAAATAAATAAATATTAAAAAAAAAAAAAACAAAACTGCTGAGCATGATGACAGATGCCTGTAATCTCAGAAGCAGGAGGACTGCAAATTTGAGGCCAAATTTGGTTAAGGATATAGCTCATGTGAGAGGCCCTGAGTTTAATCCCTAGAATGGGGTGGGGGGCCTTGTTAAGATGCTGAGGCTGGCTTTGAACTTTCGATCTTCCTACCTGAGTCTCCCAAATCACTGGGATTACAGGAATGTACCACAGTGCCTGGCTCCAGATAGATAGCATTTTAAAACCGGTAGGAAAAGGACAACTGGATCTCTACATCTCTCCTTTTACTAAAATTGTATTCCATATTTAAATCTAATTATAAAAGAGAAGAAACCAYAAAAATAATAGAAGGAAATATGGATAATTAAAATATAACACTTTGGGGTTGTAGCTCAGTGGCAGAATATCTGCCTAATCTCTAGCATTACCAATAACAAAAATACTACAGAAGTGGTTTGCAATTATACAAAGAGGTTATTATTTTTCAAGTTTTTCTTTTTTTCTTTTTTTTTGGTGGTGCTGGGGATTAAACCCAGGGCCTTGTGTATGCACTATTTTTCAAGCTTTTATAGACAAAAATAAACACTCCTGGAGGTGGGGGAATAAAATGATTTAGGAGAAAAATTATAAAACTCACAAATTAACATTAAACACTAAAAAATAATAAATTTAATATTGGACTGAAGATGAGGCTCAGCAGTAAAGTGCTTACCTAGCATGYAAAAGTTTAATCCCCAACACCATAAAAAAGTACAAAAAAACTCAAACAAAAAATCTTGGGCTGGGGATGTGGCTCAAGTGGTATCGAGCTTGCCTAGCATGTATGAGGCACTGGTTTCAATTCTCAGCACCACATGGAAGTGAAATAAAGATACTGTGTCCACCTAAAACTAAAAAATAAATATTAAAAAAATCTTGCTAAAGCCAAAGAAATACAAATAAGAATGAGAAAATTCTCATAGAAAAGACAATTTTTTAAAACTACCATACTGGTAAAAATATAAGATTCACAAAACTATTAGAAAGGAATGCAGGAAAAAAAAAACAAAACGGTGTGGAGACTAACTGGGTACTCTCATGTACTACTAAAGAATGAATTGGTACATTTATGGAAGGCAGTAAAAAAAATTATTTCCCCCTAGAAAACCTGATTTTAGGAATTCATCTTAAGGAGAATACTTTGTTATCACTAAGAAATTTATTTAAAAATACTCATGGGGGCTAGGCTGGGGATATAGCTCAGTTGGTAGAGTGCTTGCCTTACATGCACAAGGCCCTGGGATAGATCCCCACCCCCCACCACACACACACACACACACACACACACACACACACACACAACTCATGGGTGGGGCTGCGGATATAATTCAGTTATAAAACATCTCCCTAACACCTGTGAGGGCCCTAGGTTCAGATCCCCAGCACCACAAAAGCAAAACAAAACACCTCACTGGGACATTGTCTACCACAGTAAATGATTAGAAACAAGATAAATGTTTCCTAATAGTGTCCATTGTTACAGGACAATATATTCTTACTATGATATAGGCAGTAATTAAAAAATGATGCAAATCTGTATTTTTTATTATTTGTTTATTGATACCAGGTATTGAACCCAGAGGTATTTAACCACTAAGCCACATCCCCAGCCCTGTTTGGTTTTTTATTTAGCGACAGGGTCTCACTGGGATTACAGGAATGTACCACAGTGCCTGGCTCTTAGGGCCTTGCTAAGTTGCTGAGGCTGGCTTTGAACTTGATATCCTCCTGCTTCACCCAAGTTGCTGGGATTACATGAGTGTGCCACTGTGCCCAGCTTCTATCTATTATTTAAAAAATCAGTTTCATGAGGCTGGGGTTGTAGCTCAGTGGTAGAGCACTTGCCTAGCATGTATTGGGCCCTGGGTTCAATCCCCAGTACCACATAAAACTAAATGAACAAAATAAAGGTATGGTGCTCACCTACAAGAAAAAAAAAAAAAAGCCAGTTTCACAACATAGTTTTGTATGAAAAGAGAAGATTACACAACAGTTGCATAACATATTTGGTAAAAAATATATGTGTACAACTCTATGTACAGACATTTGAGACAGATGTATGAAAAGCTAGTTACCAAAATGTGTTATAATAGTAGTCAGCTCTATTTTTAGTTGTAGATGGACACATGCCTTTATTTTATTTATTTTATGTGGTGCTGAGAATTGAACCTAGTGCCTCATGTGTGCTAGGCARGTGCTCTACCACTAAGCCACAACCCCAGCCCCCAGGTGATTTTTAAAATATTTTTATTTTGTATGTGTGGTGCTGGGGATCATATATGTAGCACTAAGCTACATCTCCAGCCCTTAAAATGTTTTATAAGTAAGCATGGCATGTTTTGTGTGAGAATGTAGTATTAGGTATCTGTAGTAACCACCTCACCACTTGATGGCAGGGACTGTATCTTTTGATCTTTGTATATCTGGAACAAAGCTCAGTTTGGTTCACAACTGGCATTTCAATAATAACAATTAAATGAACTTCCCTCTATTTTTCTGGAAAATAAAAGATAAACCATAACTATCAAGTTATATATCCACAGACGACTTGGGGTTTTTGAAGTGAAAACAGCTTTTAAAAATGTCCATTCCAAATATGCTATAATGAATACATTTTAAAAAACCCAAAACTGGGTGAGGTGGCACACACCTACAGTCACAGCTATTGGAGAAACTAAGACAGGAGGATCACTTGAGCTCAGGAATTTGTTTATCCTGTGCAACACATCAAGATTCCCACCTCAAAAAACCTGAGACAATGAAAAAATGATAAAATGAAAAGGATAAAAAAGCACGTGTTTGGGCTGGGGATGTGGCTCAAGCGGTAGCGCGCTCGCCTGGCATGCGTGCGGCCCGGGTTCGATCCTCAGCACCACATACAAACAAAGATGTTGTGTCCGCCGA